CACACACACACACACACACACACGTATATATATATATATATGTATAACGACTATAAATTTAGCAGATGCTTTTGGTTTTGCAACTGCCAACCAATCGACCGACCGATCGACCAAACGACTGTCGAATCGAGTCCGATCGACCGTCCAACCGAGACCGATCGACCGACCGATCAACATACATTCACACACACATATATACACACACATACATACACACACACATACATACATATACACATACATCAATGGGGAAAAAAGCATGCCCTCGGAAAAACAAGGAAGAACATATCGCATATCGAAAGTTGGCCCCTATAGTATAGGACAGACAGACAAACGGACGGATGGATTGATGGACATACACCGCCCATAGGTTCATGTGACTTTCTCTGTGTGTGTGTGTGTGTGTGTGTGTGTGTATGTGTATGTGGATGTGTATGTGTATGTTAGCAATACATGCAGAATAGTTTCCTGAAAACGCAGTATGAAGTTCATTGGAAGTCTGAATGAAGGAATGATTGACTACTGACTGAATTGAATGACTTCTCAATGGCTCACTGTTCAAGTTGGAATGAATGTTTCTCGTTCCAGAAAAGCGTTCAGTGTTTCGGAATATTTCAACAATCCAAACATTCACTCCTATCACTGCAACATCCGATATCACACGTAACACGGGGAACACGTAATCATGCTTGCTTGCATTTTATAAGTGAACTATGCTTTTAAAATATACATGGATAGGTTGTAGGCAAGCTAACGTGGTGTATGTTTGTGTACACATATACATACGTTTGCGTGTGCGTGTTCGTGATTATAGGCATTGGAGGTAAATAGTAGAGGTAAGTGGAGGAGAAGTTTATAGTAAGCAAGAATCTCTGGAAGTATATATGGAACGAAATGGAACATTCGAGTGAGGAGATTTTATGGTGGTTTTTGTTGTTGGACTTTTTTGAAACTCTAAAATTTTGGAAAGATAGATTATTCATAACAAAATTGAACTAATCAATAGAATTATATCTTTGGAATTATTTCATTTATTTACCGCATTCTTAACAGCTGTTCCATTATCCTGCGGTTATGGACGGACTTTCGCTAATATTCTCATCTCCTTTCACTGTATTTTAGCCTCTGTCCACTTTGTTGCAACGTTTCAAATTTCATTTCAAATCTAACTTAATGAGAAGTCCACAAAGTTATTGCTGAGGTCAGTGTAGGTGTCTGCATTGCTGCTTAAAGCTTAAGAAGAACTCATTGCGACTCACATATACCAACTAATTTGAGTCCATGTCCTACTGACCGCTGCTACTACACTTACTGACCAATCTTAATTCTTTAGAGCACGCGTGTCCCAAAAGATAAGGTTAAAAGAATTGGACATATGGTACCAGTAAAGGACAGACTGTGGTATTTGGAATTCCCGTGTATAATGAGTGTTTCAAAATTTCATCCCATTCATTGGCTTTAGCATCAGTATGTCACGAGAAAACATTTTCTTTAATAACGCGAAACGTATTTTGTTATTGAAAGATGTACGAATAATCAGTAAGTAGATAAGTAATAACAGATCAATAAATGCATGTTATACACATATTTACTTGTTTGTTTGCTTTTGTCCGGTTATTTCCTGGTTGGAAGCTGCAGAAAAGATAGATGATTATGCTAGGCTACCTGTTTATGTTCTATTTTGCTGCCCTTAACGCCTTTCCCTTTAGTACCCAAAGCGAAACCCTTCCTCATCACATGTTTCACCCTAATTTCATCTTTGGTCTGTGATGGCTGTTATAGACATGAGAAAGAAGGAAGATTTTGTTTACTATCATCATCCCACTCACATTCAGTTGGCTAACGGTTCCCGATGATTCATCGAGTGTTTCCTGTCCGAATCTTCAGGAAATCGATTTTGGTTAAAAGGTCAGCGTTTGATATAACTATTCAATTTATCGAGAATTTGCTATGTTACTAATTATTCATTTAATGGGAAAGGTCATATAAACGTGAAGATAACATAGCTGCTTCATTGATATTCGACTTTAGAAGTCGGTTGATTTGTGAATTTACACTGTTTGCATTTAACTAAACCAGCTAAATATCTGATCGTTCAGGACAGCAGCGCATCTTATCCCCGAAACCAGAGTTAGCCTACCCATCAGTTTGGCTTTTTTCCAACAATATCTGGAAAATATTGTGAAGCTTATAGCTGGCTGGATGTATTTTGGAAAACTGCATGTTGCAGTTCTTGATAAGAAAGATCTCTCGCAACCCTGTGCTAGAATAGAGAAGAGTAGCATTGCGAGAGTCATGTTGATGCAAAACAGCCCGGCTAAACGGTGTTGTTTTGTTTTGGTGCTTTTCGCGGTCGTCGTCTTCTGCCCTCTTCAAGGGGTATCCTACTACTGATCGACGATGTATGATCCGTTGTTTAGACAGACGCCGCCATTCCTACAACCAAGAGTTAGGAGGTCGACATTTCCGAGAAGGTCGAGAAGGAGAAAACAACGTGGATCCTATCCGCCCATTTGCTGTCGGTAGTTATGATGACGGCGGTTATTAGACCTCATAAGACAACAACACTATGTACTAATCGTCGTCAACCATTCAAGCAGAACATTCCTCTCAGAGAGAAAGAGTAATGGGAAGAGAAGAGCCCAAATGAAAGTGAAAGGAAATGTGTGTGGAAGTAAAAATTTAATACATTATCATTTATACAAACATACATATGTATAGGTAGTAGTAGTAGTAGTAGTATTAGTAGTAGTATTAGTAGTAGTAGTAGTAGTAATAGGGTGCAGTTACCGCCTTCCAACCTCCAGTTTGCCCCCGCCATTTTGTCTGTGATGTCCGAGTGGTTCACATCCTTAGCATGATTACTTCTCCCCTCGCTTCATTTACTGGCTTCCTTGTTTATTTGCATTTTTCCTAGTAAACATAACAAACACCCCTAGACCTTTTTACTTAATGGGACACTTCTCCATTTACTTGTTTTCATATTTAGCTAATCATTTGACTCAAAAAAAGGCCAACAACAAAGGCATTATCTGCAATGGGGCTCGTTATTCTGCACTTATTTACCGGAATAAGATAAACCTGCAGTGAACCGTGTTTGGTAATCCAAACCGGGATTGGGTTTCCTGGAATAATGGTGGGATTGAGCTGCCGCATGTGGCGTGATGTTTGGTCGATTGATGGCGGCGGGTGGTTGTTATTTGCATTTCCTATGATTTAAGTTTAGTAGTAGCGGTAGTGGTATTAGTAGCTGTTATGCATATGTGTGTGTGTGTATGTGTCCGTATCTGTGTATACTGTTGTGAAGTTTACGAAAAGATGTGTACCCCAGGGGTGCTACTAGGCTCATTTTACTGCCAAGTTGTGACCTTTTTTCCTTTTTTTCTTCATTTCTTTTCCTATTTTTATGAATAAGGAAAGTAGAGATTGGCCTTGAAAAGGTTATGGTTTTGAAAATCATTCTAAGAAATATCGGTGGATAAGAGAGATTGGAGCAAAGTTCCTGAGAACGAATTGTGTTAAACTCCCATTAGCGATGATGGTTCAACACTTTGTTTCATATCGTTCCATTTTTGTTATAAAAGAACCATTCTAAAGAAGCCCTGTGGTCCGTCTACGATTTTTTATGAAAGGAAAGAGCATTGATAAGGATCACAAAGAAATTGAATGCGGGAATTAGAATTCAGCAATTTCAAATTCCGCATTAAATCTGTAAGAAATTCTGAATGCTTGAATGAAATTCATTCCTGTTTTTCTGCTCGATTCCTTCAGTTCTCTTATTTTGTCTTCTTGTGTGTTTTAATTAATTTATGTAACGCGAACTTTATTTGCCAGTTATCAACAACAACAGAATTGATTCGAGACAACTGGCTACCTTTGACCTTGTTGATAACCTTTGACCTTATTCGAGGTTATCATTTCATTTCAATTCTTTTGTGTACCAATCCACTACTATCGCTTTCCTTTTCTCTCTTCCGTACTCTTTTCGCCCTCCCCCTCCTTTTTCCGTTATTTGGCATTGTTCAGTCTGAAATTTTTCGACAAATGGATCTCGTCACAGTTCTCACCTTCCGTCAAACGTCATTTTTCGACCTTTTCCGTTTCTTCTATTTATAATTTTGGTTTATACTTTTTTTGGTTACTTGTAGTAGTAATTATTCCGGCTTCCCATTTCTACCCAGCATTTCACTATTAATTGTCCTAGTTTATCTTCTGCTTCCGATCCTAGCATTCAGAATCTCCCAAACGGCGTTTTGATTATTTCAGTTGTCGATAAGAAGTGAATTTTGTAAATCATTTTATTGGTGTAGCATGAAAGAATATATTATGTTTTTCCCTTCTTAAATTTATAATTTAAATCAAGGTTTTCATATTTGACACCTGAAAGTTATTGGAATCACGAGAGATTCCTGATCCAGCTATCCTTAGCTAAGCAGTCTTTCCAGTTTGCCCTTAAATTTAAAGTATCCAGTGCATGTGACCCAGGGCACGTTAAATTCTGGAAAATTTGCTTGCATATTCTGGAAAATAACCTTGTTTTGTACATCGATCCAATAAAGTGCATCGGAATCCATGTGGAATATTGCTTTATATATATATATATATACATATATATATATATAATAAAGAATCAGTAGCATTAACATCCGTTCGATATGTTTCTCCTGTATATCCTAAATTTGTGGACTCGAAAGTGCTGCATCTGAAAACGTTTTCAGCTAGCCACTGTTAGTTTGAATTATTCACTTCCACCGCCTGTGCACATCCAGAACTCTCTCCATTCTTCTTCATGTGCTTTTGTTTTGAATTATTTTAGTCATATCCGTATTCCATTCCGGTTGTCCTTCAAAAGATTGCCAGCAGTAAGAATCCCCACCACCTGTTAAAATTGAATTTCAAGATTAGTTCATTTTACTCTTAATGAGATTTTAAACAATCTACATATCTGTTAGATACAATTGATAATTGTGTTTGGATGGATGAAAAGTCTGTCAATTTTATGAATAACTCCAAGTAAATTGATCTGTTCGATGGATGGCGGCTTATTCTGCAACAGTAATACTTCAGATCTGAAACACTATAATGATGATGTGCAGTTAAATCAGCACAGTGCTGATGAATTTCTTTTCCTGTGGGTTTGTGTTTCTGAAAGTGAAGAGGCAAAATGGTCTGCAGGATTTCAGAGCACCATCTGTTAGCCTGTTCTTATGGTCGTGGCAATTCATTGCACTAAGGATGATAGCCTGTTGGAAGTGCTCATTCTCCCATTTCACGTGAATATTAGATAGGAAGATAGCGACATTTCCTATCACTGTCGGGTTTGATTGTCAAATAGAGACCAGATCTTGGGTTCCTTCTCCTTGTAGTTGTTATTTATGGGAATTCTTGTACTTACTAAAATTTGTCTTTTTTTCTCTCATTTGTTTTTCCGTCGCTCATAAAATGCGGACAGAGGATTAGAAGGCTAGATTATCTGTTTCTGATTCTCTTAATTTCATTTCTTTTGCTTCTTTTCACTCATATTTGTTGGCATTATTTGATGGAATTTGTACAATTATCTGCTTAGATCTATAGATTTCCTTATGAATTTATATCAATTTATGATTGTTTTTGTTTCCTTTAATATACTATTGATTGCTGGAAAGAGTGGATCAAGTACTTGCTTATAAACGTTATAGAATTTCATTCTTAGTTATCAACGGACGTCATGATTTTATAAGTCCTTATTGCAGCTGCAATTTAAGTGCACAATTTTACAGCATAATTGGAATTTTCGATCAAGAAGAATCCAAATCATCATGTCGGTGAATTGATAGAGCAGTAGCACGGTGTCAATGGTTTGAGAAAGCATCAGTTCAATTTTTTCTTTAATTTCTTCAAGTCTCGATTTAATTCGTTTATCATCTCGACGTATACTCCTGCTCCTGTACTTAGCTAATAACCAAACGCATGGAGTAGTACACAGATTTTTGTGGTAAGTTAAATATTCTTGTTTTGCCTTTCACTCTGCTTCTGTAATCATTGTGCGAATTTTTCTGGATGTTGAGATGGTATCCCTAGTCATCAGAATCGAAGTGGACAATGTTGTAATTCTGATATAGCACCCTTACTTTTCCATTCATGAATGGTTCTCGAACCAGTTTCTCCAGCTTCCTGAATATGGTCTCTTAGCAGTGTTTTCTCTCATTACCCCGTTGTTACCTTATTGCCGGGAAGGATTATTAGTTTATCTCGTCCGATATACATGAGAAGTTTTGTTTAAAGAGTTTCACGATGTCAGGTACCAAATCATTCTGTAATAATATTCTTCCTATTAGTTAAGGGACATGTGTTGGGTTCAGTTCAGCAAATTGTTGTGCATTATGCGCCTTCTCTCCTTCCCTCTTCATACTTTCTATTTCTGATTCGCTAATTGCTAATAAATGCTGGAGGTGCTAAATTTCATAAAGCATAAGACATGATGTATTTTACATTTATTTTCTCATAGGTTTTCCACACGTGACCCTTCTAATCAGAAAAGGAATGAACACAAAGAGAAATACTGCATTACTAACTGAATATTACAATACTAGCAAATGACCAACCCACTTTTGATGACGAGACTGATAATAATTTCATACTGATAAGGCAGTAATATGGTTCTAAAGAAATTTGATCTTTTAGTTTCGGTCTGAGTAACTACGTTCTTGCCCCTACTCATACAGCTTCATTTCATCCTTATCAATCAACAAAAAGAAAAACATTCTGGATATGCCGGAAATTTTCACTTTTCACTTTTTCCGAGTATTTTGTGGTTCCACTCATCTGTTTTATCTTTTGAGATTCCCATATGACTAATTTATTTTTCTCTTTATCCAATATTTATAACATCTTACCACTTAACTCTCAAGACATAATATAATAATAATATATATAATATAATGTATATACTATATATATATATATATATATATATATATACATATATATATATATATATATATATATATATATATATATATATATATATATATATATATATATATATATATATATATATATATATATATATATATATATATATATAT